TTTTGAAGTATGCGTATCAATTTCATGCTATAATACAACTCTACAAATATTTTGTGACCTAAATGATTTTGTTCTATGTTAAATTTGTATTGATAGGGCAGCGGGTTATGCTATAAATCATATGTCACAGTGTTTGTGCACTGATTGCAACGGTTAGATGATACCAAAAATATTTTCATAAATAGGAGATCTTTGCGATTCCGGATCGAACAATCTACCCAAGATGCTTATAATCATGATACCTAGTAAATTTTCACGAAAAAAATGCAAAACCAGCAAATGTAAAAGATTCATTTCGCACCCTCCACCACGGGACGTGATCGTCGTTAGACTTGGCAACCCTCGAGTGACAGATATCCCCGCCAGTCAACGACCGCCAGACAAAACACAAACAATAAACATTACTAGTTTTGATGATTTTTGGACTTCAAAGGACATTATTTGTGAAACGTTTTTCATAATTTTTTGTCTATGTCCATAGTAATTGCATTATGCATCAGGGAGATGTAGGGATTGACACGTCTTAAACATATTATCTGTGTTTTAGGATGGAGAGGACATAATGTTTTTATTGCTTTGAAGAAATTCATTAACCCATAAATTAATAAATGATTACTATTATGACGTAAAGGAAGATGAGGAATTAGATGGAATGTATTTTATATTCTATTTTCTTGCAAAATACAGACAAATCCACACTATTCAAGCTGGTAAATTCGAGAGTGCCATGCATTAACAAACGTCCAAATCTGCTGCCAAATTTAACAGCTAGAAAATCGACCTATTATTTGCCGCATTAACATTCGCTGAGGGGGATAACGGATTTTTAAATGTAAACCTATAACATATATCAGAATACATGAAAGTCGTCCTGTTTTTTCTGTACAAAAGCATCATGTTGGAATCAAAAAGTGGTCTTGTTTATAATACAGTCGGATTTTCACGATTTTATTCAATATTTCAATAGAAATCACTAATATTCGGAGACCTTTGACAGCTTCTGTCAAATTGCATTTCGATAAGGTATTTTCCCATTGGTCCATAATATTAATGTTGGTGAAAACGGCCCTTAGGCTACTTATAGCAGCCGCGGTGCCTCGATATTTAGGCGTCTGTCTAAGCGGCTGCTTCGGTATAAAAAAGATTTTCCCGCAACTGAATTTACTTCCTCGAGTCTGTATACTATGGTCAGAGAGAAACTTGTAGCGTGCACGGAATAAATGTGCGGCCCACCGACCTCATGTACTTGTTGGGATTTATTTTTAATTTAGAGAGTGAGCTTATAAGGTAATGAGGCGCTGTTTTAAAATATAATTCTGTCCTTTTTCTGCTCATATATACAGCAACATAGCTAAACCTAAAGGAAAACGGGGATTGTTTAATGTGCAATTATCTTAGTGCAGCTTGGAGGTATGCACAATAGTAGAAAAAAATAATGAAAGAGAAAAATAGACTGGCGTGGTATACATACAAATCAGAAATATCTAATTAAAACTTATGTAAACTCTGATTCTATAGCTTCTCGCCTAGTTATATTGGAAATTTTCGGAAACATGCCAATTAACAATGAAAGATGCTTTCACTTGTATAAAATTTTATTTCCAGATAGTCATAAGTTAGGTTTTTTTGTGAACGGGTCAATCACAATCCTCCACTGTCACTCTCCGGTCTATTATGGCTCACACGTACTTATATTTTTTTTTTCGAAATAATTTATTTAAACACAATAATACAAAATGTATCACCAGTTTTAACAATAATTCCCCAATCAGTGTTTGCAAACACTGGCCCCGAGAATAACAAGACAATAATCAATATTTATCAACTATAGGTACACTGCAATGTTGCTCATAATTTCAACAAATAAATTCATTAACATTTTTAAAATCTTTCAATTCTCTAACAAAACTTCTATAAGTAGTTACTTGAATCTTTTATACAATGAGGTAAATTATTAAATTTCTTAATTGCGTCTGTGATTGGATTTTTTAAACCTATATTAGTTCTTGTGGAAATTTGATAAACATTATTTAGTGATCTTGTTTGGTGATCATGCACGTTATGGTAGAACCTAATATTTATGTTACTTTTTAGTAGATTATTTATAATTTTGTAAACAAGTTTACATTATTCCACCTCCAATAACACTCTTAATTTGTTTAAATTTAAATTTGAATAAAGTATATTAGAACTTGTAAGCCAATCAAAATTAAAAAATTTTATTTTGTAAAACTTGAGCTTTATTAAAATTAACTTCACCGCACATACCACATACTGGCAAGGGGTACCTAAAATGTGTGAGAAAGAAGGCATTATAAATTTGAAATTTGCTTTTGTTGGACAAATAATCTCTACTGTTATATAAGGCAGATAGCATTGGAACTATTTTATCACAAATTCCATTTAAGTGAAGTGACCAATTTAAACTTTCATCTATTAGTAATCCCAAATATTTAATACTTGACACTTTTTCTAGCGCTATATTATTTATGTTAATATTTAGATTATTCCTAACTATCTTTTTTTGTTTAAATATAATGTATTTTGTTTTTTCAATGTTAATTTTTAATCTATTCGAAAACAGCCATTTAAGATAACTATTCATTAATAAGAATCGTTAAAGCAATTTGGTCTGTTCCAGTATATACCAGTACAGTATCATCTGCAAAGGTAAAATATCTTCCCCTCAGATTGGCCAACTTGAGATTCTAGTACATAAAGACTGTATAACAGAGGTCCAAGAACTGACCCCTGTGATACTCCATAGGTGCTAGATAATCATTCACTATCAATGTCTCCAAGCTTTATGTACTGTTTTCTGTCATATAAATAAGACTTAATCAAGCTGTACGAAACACCTCTAAATCCCATTTTAAACAATTTATCCAAAAGAATGTCTATGCTTACTACGTCAAAAGCTTTTTTTAGGTCAATGAAAACAGCTACAACTATTTGTTGTTTATCTAGAGCCATTGAAATGTAGTCCACAAAATCAACAACCGCACTAAGTGTGCTACTGTTCGTTATAAAACCATATTGAAATTCATCAGTCAATGTATTGTGAGTAACAATGAAAGATAACATTGTTTTCTTATTAATTTTTCTATAATCTTAGAGAATACACATACCACTAAATAGGCCTGTAATTGTTCATACATTTAATATCTCCCGACTTAAAAAGTGGGGTTATTTTACTTATTTTCAATTCTGATGGAAAGATTCCTTTTTGTATAGTTTCATTGATTAATCGTACTAAAACAGGTATTATGTATTCTCCAAGATTATTTACATCCTTAACCGTGATACCGTCATATCCAGGTGCTGAGTTTATTTTTAGTTCTTTCACAACTTCCAACAACTCTTCTTTATTAGTCAATGTTATCGAAATATAATAATGTTATTTTCAGTTATTAGTTGTTCAATTCTTACTTTATACTCCTTATTTTTTATTAGGCTGTTAACAAAAGCCCGTTGTTTCTTTACATTATTTCCAGCTAAGCTCCATTTAGTTTGGAAATAACGGTTCTTCAAAGCACGTATTTTATTGTTTATTTTGTTTTTGATGTTTTTAAATTCAGAGATGATAGTTAAGTTTTCTGGTTGGTTAATCTTTCTTTTGTATAATTTATCTCTTTTTTTGATAAGCTCAAGGACTTCATTATTTATCCAGGTGTTATTTGTACGTATTCTTAATTTTTTATATATACCGATTTACTTTTACAGTCTTCAATTAAATTAATTAATTCTTGAAAAGTTGTTACATTAATGCTTAATTTTTTTTTCTAAATAAGTTTACACATTTTTTATAATCTACAGATTTTACCTCATAATCAACTTTTGGTTTATGAAACTGCACAGACGTTTTAATATCAAGCAATATAAGTTTGTGATCCGAAATTGCATTTTCTTTAACACTGACTCTACAACTGACATTACTACTATAATCGCTAAGAACATGGTCTATAACAGATTTTGGCGAACTGCTAACTCTAGTAGCACACTCCTCATTTATCGTATTATTAATTTTAAAATTGTTTAATGCTATTAAATCTTTGTACTCCTTGGCTACTTGTGAGACCTCTAGCAAATTAATATTCATATCCCCAACAATTAAATGATTTTTAGGATGAGTACGCATAATAGATTCCAAACAATGAAAAAAAATATTACTATTTACAGATGGTGGTTTATATATAACACTAATTTTCAAGTTCTGTTCCCATAAGCTAATACATATCCAGTTTATTAACTCACATCTGTTTGACTTCTCAATTTTACGAAATTTAATAGATTTCCTCACATAGATAAGCACACCACCTCCTCTACCAGCCCTGCCGGAATGAACAGCATTATAGCCATCCAACTCAAACAAGAATGTTTCACTTTCTTCCAACCATGTTTCAGCCGCCAACAGTATATTCCAATCTTCACTCACAACCAAACACTGCACCAAATCCAGTTTATTTCTAATACTTTGCAGGTTCATGTAAGCAATTTTTAGTTGTTCACGAGGCCTTACTAGTTTTCCAACTGACTTTTATTACTAATACGAAGAACTTTTGAGTTTTCGTCCTTCATTAGAAGGATATTACCATCTCCAATCCAAAGGAACTTGTCTGTCTTTCTTAAAAGCCTTGGCTGAAATGAATAAATCAAGATTTTCTTTTGTGAGTTCATGGTTGAAAAATATTTTATTATCTGTCAGATATCCCAAATCCGAACTTTTAAGGCCAAACTTCTTTCTTGATTTTAAAATTTTTATTTTGGTTGATTCATCTTCAAAGATGACTTTAACAGGGTTGTTTTTATTCTTATCCCTGCCCAATCGAAAAGTCGTAAACCTGTTTACATTCTGGACGTCAAGGTAATTACCAATTTTATTTATAATGTCAGGTAAGTTCTCGTTTTCTTTGTATGGAATTCCAACAAGTTGTTTTTAAGTTCCTTTTGTTCATTTTTGTTTAACTGTTGCTTAATTTGGCCGAGTTCATCCTGTAATTGTTAGTTTATTTTTAATTGCTCATTATATTTAGTAAATAATGCCTTATATTTATTATCCATCTCCTCTAATTTTGCCATGACATCGGCCAGAGTGTAATCCCTCTTCGCCTGTGAAACAAAACCAGGACCATCTTTGGTCTTACATTTGCCACAAATCCAATCATCATTGGATTTACTTAATTTAAGATATGTTTTATTTGACATTGATAAGCATTCTTTATGTTTCCATATGTTGCACTTATCGCATAATAATGCTTGACAATCATCAAGAACCTCCTTAAGACATATGTCGCAATTTTCAGTCTTGGTTTTTGGCATTTTAATGCTGATAGGATAATCCGTAAGTTACGGCAACTCCGCTGGAGGTTCACAGCAATAGCCAGCCTCCCAGTGCCTGGTGTCAACGTCTACAGTATATTCAGATAAGAGATAGACCGGATGTAAACAAAAGGTTCGAGTGATTTTCACGCTAACGCCGCCGTCTCGACGTAAAACAGGAGCCCTCATTGGTCAATTCGCAATTAAATGCCTATGCCGAGCGGCAGAGCAGTCGTATCAAGGCAGAGTCACATTCAGGTTCAGACGTGTTACGTATGTCGTGTGCATCATTGCAATTTGATATTTCTTTGGACGTTTTCGTTTGTTATCTTATTAAGTTGTTGAGTTTGTCGTTGTTATTGTTATACCTTGTTATTGATTGTTATTGTTATCAACTGCTTGCGCAAAATGCCCAGTAGTACAGTTACTGCCGATGAAGTTGTAAACTCCTGTAGTCCACCTAGGAAACGCTCTAAAAAAAGACACCTGAGTGCAGAAATGAAAGAGGTCATTTTGAATATATATAAGATCGAACGCGAGGAGAACGAGGCATCAACCATCAAAGAAATTGTTGTGAAGGTTTCTCACAAAGTTGGGGTGTGTCGCGCATCAGTGTTTAATGTGTTAAGACAATACAAAAAAAATCACACCTTTTCTGAGCCAATGACCAGTAAACATCGCAAAAGTATTGTTAAATCATTGGATGAAGCTGATAAGCATGCGATTAGGAGGAAAGTGCACGAATTCTTCTTTAGGAATGAAATACGTACTATAAAGTACTGCAGGAGGTAAATGGAGATACAACGTTGCCAAATTTCAAACGATCAACTTTCCATGCGTTACTGAAGCATTTAAATTTCAAATGGAAAAAACGGGGTCGTAATAGTTTACTACTGGATAGAGAAGAAATTGTGCTATGGAGGAGGGATTATTTAACAAAAATTGGGAAATATAGAAATCAAAACAGGAAGATTTATTACCTTGATGAAACCTGGGTAAACGCAGGACACACTACAAGTAAAGTATGGGTTGATGATTCTGTAACTTCATCCAGGAGGGCCTTTCTAGATGGACTGTCCACCGCATTAAAAAATCCAGCAGGTAAATACGAGTAATAGACAACAATCGGATGTTTTTCAAACCTTGGGAACAAGGTTCTAAACATTAATTCCAGGGGGCAGATAAAACATATTACAAGTAACAACACTTTTATAACTTTCGATAAAATGCGTGGATGTTTTATTGTCATTTTCATTTGTTAGAACTTTTTTAAGCCATGTTTTTATGTGTTTTCGATGTTTCAATAATTTTTTAATATAATCTTAAAATATGTCGAATATTATAAACTTAAAAAAAGTTACTAAGTTTTATATTGTGTACCGTTCCTAATATTTATAATCATTTTAATTCATACTTTAAGCTTTATAAAGTTATAATTTATTAATATTAATATTTGCGCGTATTTCAGGTTCCTGATCATTCATTTTTTTAGGGGTTTATAACTTTAAATTAAATTGTGAAGCGCTGAGTAATCATACGACGTTCAATATTCTTTCTTTCAATATGACTAAATAATCCCAATTATAGCAATCTGATACTCATGTCTCAATGTTTTTTCGCTGAATGTGATGAAAACATTTGAAAAAGGTTCGCTTATTGAAATAAATCTACATCAGTTAGTACTTCGATTTCCAGGTAAAGGGAAAAGGCTCATTATCTGCCATATTGGCAGTGAGGATGGATTTGTTGTTGACGGTCTGTGGTGCTTTGAGTTTAAGAAAACTGGAGATTACCACGAGGAAATGAATGGCGAATCGTTTGAACAGTGGTTTTCAAAAATTTTATCGAAACTCAGTAATTGTGTTGGATAATGCGCCTTATCATTCTCGAAGAATGGAGAAGGTCCCAACAACGGCTTCAAGGAAAGTTGATGTTCAAAATTGGCTCCGCTCGAAAAATATCAACTTTGAAGAAGCAATGCTGAAAGTACAATTATTAAGAATTGTCAAGGATCACAAGGCGGAATATCAAAAATACGCCATTGACGAAATGGCAGCAAGTCAAAATAAAACTGTGCTCCGTTTACCTCCATACCATTGCGAGCTCAATCCCATTGAGCTCGTATGGGCAGAGGTTAAAAATTATATAGCTAAGCACAATACAACTTTTAAATTTTGTGACCTCAAAGGACTTTTCAAAGAAGCACTAGAATTATTAACAGCGCAAAAATGGGAAAACTGTATTAAGCACGTGAAAGACAAAGTTGAAAAGAGAATGTGGGAACTGGACAATATTTTAGAGGAACAAGTCGAGCCATTCATTATTGACGTTGGTGCTTCAGGCAGTAGCGATGATGAAAGCTCATCAAGCTCATCTTTCCAATAAAAGATGTCGTTCATCAAATTCGGTAAGTTATAAGTAATTATAAAGCTACTGTATTTTTTAATTAATCATTGACATTTTTGAACCCATTTTGGCAAAACCTATTCAAGAATCTACTTTCTGACAATATTCAACCATGCACATTTTTTACGTTTTGAACGTTTTAATTTGGTTACATATTTACCTAGAAATCAAAAAATATACTAATCAATATTCTAAAAGCAATTTTAAGAGATATACGATTATTTTTAATTTAGGCTAATTTAAACGCCATTTTGAGATTATATTCGACTGTATTTCACAAAACATCAGGCGGCATCCGAAGCTGGAAATCGAAGCGAAAATTTTGAAACCCTTATGTATATTTACATCATTATATATTTCTTACCCCACCCCCACATGATCCTATATCCATCACCAATCGTATACACATCGAATTGTGCTAATTTACTACAAAGTTACGCAAAGCAGCATCTACTATCTAAAATATGTACTGTGTGACTCTTAATACGTCCCTGCCGAATGTTACAGCGTTCGATGATCACGTGGTCTTGTTTATGTCCGGTCTATCTCTTATCTGAATATACTGTAGAAGCGCACGGGTCAAAGTTCAGTTGGCGATAAATATCGTCCAATTTCGACGATTTGAAGCAAAAAGAAGATCTTAGGCACTACAAAGCAGCGTTATTGTTCTATGTACCGTAATGCTCGGATTCATCGATAGCACAGTAATTAAATGATACTATTTAACACTAATTTTGCAAAATATTTGCAGAACGATTCATGAACGCAAATTGACCGGTTATGGGCAACGTTGCTAGTTCACCCAATCATTCCGACCTCATGAGGAAGTCGATCAATGTACTTGGTATAATACCCTTTAGGTCTTCTACATGGAGTACTATCCCCCAAGTGTATTGTACTGATCCTGGCAAATGCAGGGCATCTGCATAAAATATGCTTAGCCATTTTGTATCCTTCCATACACAGTCTGCATTCAGCGTCGTTAGCCATACCCTACCTGCTCATGTGATGACGCAGTTTGCAATGACCAGTGTAGAGTTCCACTAAAGCTTTAAGGATATGAACGCTGGCACAAGTCCGATGAAGGGTGTGCTAGACCCACTCTTTTGCAAAGTGCCGATTGTTTCGTTTCCCTTCAGACCTTGTTTCCATCCCCTATGGTACCAAGAGGTTCTTTACAATTGCTCACTTATTTCGATGTTGAGTAGGTGGAGTCAAGTGATAGAAGCGTGGTTTGACCTTTTGAAAAAAATGTTTGTGCCTCAACTATCGTTCTGCGATCATCCTGGCTCGCAGTTCTATAGCATATATGAATGGAATATCGATGCCCAGATTCTAAGGCTCACTCATTGCTTAATCTTCGGTTTCGATGCGAAGATACCAGCCCCAACACCTACTTCTTTGAAGGGGACTTGATAGCCACATACAGAGCTTTGCATAGTTTCTTCGACAATCTACCGTTGCAACGCCAACCACCTGCCAGGCCACAACTACAAACTAATGAACGGGGGTTCCGAACTACACTTCCGCAATTTTTCCCGCCTAACCAAGTGTTTGATACCTGGAACGGGCTGCCCTACCACGCTGTTGATACATCCACAGTTAACGGGATCAAGAATCGTTTCGACAGATGGGTGCCCGACGAACTCTAGGTTGCTTATGGCACAATCTTTATTTTTTCTATGTTTAATTTCTTATCTCTGCTTAGAGTTTATAGCTTTTGCTCAACTCTTCTTTTATGTATAATAATAATACTTCGGCCTTGGAGCCATCTGTATATACACTGATATATTTTCTTAATAAATTAGTTTGCTGTTCCCACTTATTCCTTTCAGGAACTATTACTGAGTATGGTTTAGCATATATTGATTTTTTGGCATTTTTGGCCGGAGGCATTCCCTGTTAGATGACAGGATGTCGTGATTAAAGTTTGTAGTCTAAACATTCGCCATTCGCTATATTGGTGGATTTCTCTTCTGAGGAGGTGATTTATGTCTTCTGAAGGTATCTTATCCCCAGCTAGTTGGACTGGTTCCAAACAGCTGTTTGTTGGAAGATAAATTTTCTTCCCACCATATCCAACACATCTTCAATGAGCGAAAGGTCTCAAGTTCTAGGAAGCAAAGAAGAAAGCTAACTTGAACGTTATTGAGGTAGACTACCGCAGTCTATCGGTTCCCTATTTAGCAAAACAGCGACTTCATATTCTAGAGATTTATAGAGTACATATGAGGAGCTCCAATGAGGTATCACAGGATTCCGCAGTCTACTTAAAAAGTCTTCCAATATAGCGCCCAATTTGAGGCTGGCATGTTTAAGCCAGAGAGTATTCGTGTAACAACTTCATTACGTCGAATTTCGGCTTGTTAACTTGACCCGCACGGGTATTATGTAAAAAAACCTATAAAATGTCATCTTGTAGACTAGGTAGTTTTTAGGATGCAAACAGTCGTTCCACGTTTGCTCATTAGGATAGTTGTGAGCGTCCATCTATGGAGGAATGGCTCAACTACACTCATTGTTGGTTGCATATGTTTTGAGAAACCGAGTAGTCTGTAGTTTTCATCTATAAGAAGAAAGTTGGTTGAACAGCAAGGTCGCATCTGGATGATTATGTGTATTGGTCTGCATGTGTATTAAGTCAGTGATAAATGCTGTGTGAGAAAATCATTACTGAATATGCTGCCAATGAAGTATACAGGGTTATCCAAATTAAGTGTCCACCATTAGTTACTTTGTTATTAGTGAAAATACAAAGTTGTTTGAATTAGCAAACTAGTAGCATTTTTAACGCTGGTAAAAATGAGAAATAAAAAAAAAAACAATTGAGAGTCGTTATTTTGAAACAATTAAATTGTATCGACAAACTTTATTTTCAACATCAACTTATAATCTTACAAAATACAATAACAATTTTTTTTAAAGAAGATGCTCGAAAACACCACCTTGTTCTTCAATACATTTTTGGGCACGTTTTTCAACTGCTCGAACTGTCTTAAGTATGGTCCTACCATCTATCTGGGTTATCTTTTCCCTAACTGCAGTCTTTAACGCGTCAAGGTTATCGTACCTTCGCTTGTAAATTTGGTTCTTTAAGTAACCCCACAAGAAGTAATCAAGTGGGTTTAGATCTGGTGATCTGGGAGGCCACTGTATTGGGCCATTTGTTCCTATCCACTGATCATTAAAAGTAGTACTTAGAAAATGATAAGTACCTCTGGAGTTGTGGGCAGGTGCGCCATCTTGCTGAAAATGCAGATGATGTCTACTTATAAGATCCAATTCGTCTAAGAAATTAGTCAGAATTTCTGACATAAATTCCACATATCTTTCACCAGTTAGGGTTCCCTCATAAAAGAACGGGCCAACATTTTTTGAACCAATTATACCGCACCAAACGTTGAAACTGAAACGGACTTGTGGGCCTCTTGGATGTACTAACAAAAGATTTTCTCTTGACCAATAATGGTGGTTTTTTCTATTAAACATTCCAGAATTTGAAAAATTTGATTCATCTGTCCATAAAAGGTAACGAAAGTTATTTACATTTTGGCGACAGAAGCTAAGATACCAATGGCAAAAAACAAGTCTTCTCTCTGGATCCCCTGCCAAAAGCGTTTGAACTGGTCGGTACTTATACGGAATAAATTTGTATTTTTTTAAAATCCTTTGAACAGTACCATAACTGAAATTAGAGTCCTTGAGAATATCTGCTATTGAATTCTCACGATAAGCTTCAAAATATCCAATAACTGCAATTTCCGTGGCCTCGCTTATTATGAATTCTTTTTTTGCCCTTGTTTTAGCAAAAACATTTTCGTTGCCCCTAAATTTTCGATAAAGTCTCAGAAAATATCGTTCATACGGTTGAATGCGAGCGGGATATAATTCACTGTAGTATTCTCTTGCTCTCAAGGAGGATTTTCTGCACACTAAATAGCATTCTAACATATCACACTTTTCTTCATGGGAGAACATTTTTCTTTAAATTAATGACACAATAAAGCTTATAAACAAGTATTTACACTAATGTTTGACATTATTTGATTTTATCATTGTTTTCCAAATCCTTCTAGTTGCGAGTATGTCCAGTTTAACAATTTGTCGCTTATCTTAATGCTGTCAAATCGCGAACGCCATGCTGTTTTCATAGCCGTCTTAATATTATAATACTGCAAATAATTAAAAATATTTATCGTTATTTTGACTTTATTTTTGACTTTAGCGGAAAAGTCATTATGAACTTTTTTGTTTAAAATTTGATGCTTTAACAGAAAAAATATAATATACAGGGGTTTCCATTTAAAAAAATGTTATTTTACTGAAAAAACTCAAAATAACGACTCTCAATTGTTTTTTTTTTATTTCTCATTTTTACCAGGGTTAAAAATGCTACTAGTTTGCTAATTCAAACAACTTTGTATTTTCACTAATAACAAAGTTACTAATGGTGGACACTTAATTTGGATAACCCTGTATATATATAACAACAAGTAGGAAAATAATGGGCAAAATCCGCAAAAAGGAGGAAAGTGGATTCGATCAGAAAATAGGATAGGTAACCCGAGCGATACGTATTTCTGCTGGTTAGCTTCATCAGACCCTAAATGAATGCACATATGAAACTACAAAAGTAGATACACATGCCCACACATCCGGATACGGGTGTAACCTGAGGAAACGAAGTTGGAGGGGGAAAAAACGACACACGAAGTCCACAACAAGAGCCAACCTACACATTGTAGTATAAAATGGCTATACGACCTTGAATTTTCAAGGAGACGTCTAACCACAACCACGCGGCCGGTTATAGCCACTTGCTGTGGTACTTCAAGCAAAGGATCTACAAAGAGAATATGATCATGCGGAGAAACGTACATAACTACAAGTAGGAAAATAATGGGCAAAATCCGCAAAAAGGAGGAAAGTGGATTCGGGCAGAAAATAGGATAGGTAACCCGAGCGATACGTATTTCTGCTGGTTGGCTTCATCAGGCCTGAAATGAATGCACATATGAAACTACAAAAGTAGATACACATGCCCACACATCCGGATACGGGTGTAACCTGAGGAAACGAAGTTGGAGGGGGAAAAAACGACACACGAAGTCCACAACAAGAGCCAACCTACATATTGTAGTATAAAATGGCTATACGACCTCGAATTTTCAAGGAGACGTCTAACCACAACCACGCGGCCGGTTATAGCCACTGGCTATAGTACTTCAAGCCCAAAGGATCTACAAAGAGAATATGATCATGCGGAGAAAGGTACATAACAACAAGTAGGAAAATAATGGGCAAAATCCGCAAAAAGGAGGAAAGTGGATTCGAGCAGAAAATAGTTGTGGACTTCGTGTGTCGTTTTTTTCCCCCTCCAACTTCGTTTCTTCAAGTTACACCCGTATCCGGATGTGTGGGCATGTGTATCTACTTTTGTAGTTTCATATGTGCATTCATTTCGGGACTGATGAAGCCAACCAGCAGAAATACGTAGCGCTCGGGTTACCTATCCTATTTTCTGCTCGAATCCACTTTCCTCCTTTTTGCGGATTTTGCCCATTATTTTCCTACTTGTTGTTATGTACCTTTCTCCACATGATCATATATATATATATACAGGGTTATCCAAATTAAGTGTCCACCATTAAGTAACTTTA